ATCTACAACATATCTCTATCTACACCATTTAACACCCTCTATTCATACTTCCATTTGTCAGTTTCAGTCTCCACCACCACAACTATCTTTCTCTAGTCTCCCTCTTCCCATACTCTACTGTGTGAGCTTAATGAAACCTGTTTGCTCTCTCTCTCTCTCTCTCTCTCTCTCACAAACACACACACACACACAAGCATACAATTAATATAATGAAGTTCCAACTGAAATACTAATGACAACAGACAAAATCATGGGCAGGGGAAAATCATACCTGAAACTTATTAATTGCTGATCTATCACGATATAAGAGCACAAGCAAGCACTTCTCCAGCAACTTAACAGCCTCTTCAAAGCTCAAATCCTCACGCCATTCAGCACGAAGTATTGGCCTTGCAAGATGATTTCCAAATCCAGTAGCAACATGATTGTCCTCAAAATGTGTGCCAATCATGCCAACCTAAATTTTATCAAGCATTTCACACTTAAGATAAGAGTCAGGACTAAAGACATTCACTATAGAAACAGGGACATACCATGCCAAGATACTTCTGGCCATTCTTCACTCCACCAAGAACAAGTGAATTCCAAAGAGGATTGAACTTATTACGCCTGTTATACATCACACGCGTGAGGTAGTTGTGAACCTCCTTTGGACCAAGCGAATTCCCATCATCCCACATGTTATCATACAGGCTGAAGAAAAATAACATATGCCACTTAATTCAACGAAAATATCAATAAAAACAAGCATTTGATGTTAGTCTAACATAAAGATCAATAATACATTTTCAGAAACTTCTTGACCAATAAAAAATAGAAGATGATGACTATTCTACACTTATGGCATGTCTTTTTCAGTTTGAGATCAAGTTCTTACATGAGCTCATCAAGATAACGCAAAATCTCCTGGAAATCACTGATTTCTCCACTTGCTCCAAGAAGAGAATGTTTACCAATGTGTTTTATACGCTCTACACTCTTGTATCGTAAAGTGGATCCATAGGAACCTGCAGGAAATAAACAGTCATAAGCTTATGAATGCAAGTAGTTCAAACTTCAGAGCAAATATAAAAGCAGTGAAAATTGATGGTATTATCTACAACATCACATCATATTCTGTTTTTTTTTTTTGTAAAGGGTAAATGGTGCTCTAAACTAAGAGTGTTTCAATTCTTCTAACAAAAGGAAGCCAAAACTTGTTTTTTCTTTTTAACATATGCTATTATTGCATTTATTCCCAAATATCTATTATTTGTATTTGATGATGAAAATTTTTGAGTGCTGCCTCAACAGATTATCTATAAGTTGATTTTCCCAAGAGGTTCAATATTTGAGCAGCTTTTGCAATTTTCCACAGTTTTTGATAGCTTATTGTTTACTTTTTGGACAAACAAATTTTCTCCTCTCGCCCACAGTGCATCAAATGTTGCATGAGATTGGCCCATTTGAAGTTGCCATCATATGACCTATTTATATTAGCAACACAGTGAACTTGTCAACAAATACGATATTACCACATCCAGCATGATAATTGTTTGGTTTCATTATGTGCTCCTTACCACTTTCTCTATTTAATTTGGCCTAGCCTATTTCAAAAGATCTACTTGCTTTCTTAATGTCAATATTAGTAGTACCAGAGCAATTCATATCCAATTGGCATTAGATAAGGTCATTTCTTGCATGACCCTTGATTAGTTAATAATTAAACTAGAAGACATCAATAACAAACTAGATTCCAAGGTTCTTAATTCTGGGCATACCACCAGGTACAGTCCGATGTTCGTGGGTCCAACATGGGACTGTCATATGGACCGGGCGATATCATACTGTAAGGGTTGGGTGCATACAACCTTGAAGCTATTGCTATCAATCACATACTCCTTAGCTTCATCCTTCTCCTTCTACTCCTCCTCCCTTCTTCTTTCCTTCTTTCTCTCTGGTCAAGGAAGTATCAACCTGCACATAGTTTTGATACTTCAAATGCATAACAATACTATCCTGGTGTAGCCATTGATCATGGACCAAAATTTTGAACCTTGTTTGATCCAATGTGTATTTATTTCTTTTTGCATTCTGTTTGTTCTTCTCACTGTTATCTAGCCATTGTGTGGATGTCTCCTTTTCATATGAGATTAACTGTGGTTGTTATTGGTAGTCTGAACCAAGGATTTTAATTTCGAATGATACTGCTCATACCAGGCATACGTACCAATCCGCCAGGAGACCGCTACGCGGACCACTCGCTACCGAGTGGTATCAACCTGGCTACAGGGAGGGAAGAAGAAGCATCGAGGGAGAAGAGGGAGAAGGTGCTCAAAGAATCGGGAGTAGATCGATGCTTCTCGATCAAGCGTCGCCCTCCCTCGACGATCCCGATTCAGGAGGTAACGGAGAGACGGCGGCTTGACTTCTTCTTCGCCGCGTTCTTCGCCGAAGGCCGAAGATTCCTATGACCTTCGTCGTGTTCTTCGCTGAGGGCCAGAGACATCTACGACCTTCGATGTCTTCGCCAAACGCCGCACATGAGGAGAAGACTGCGTCTTCTAATCTAACGCAATGAGGACAATAAAAAGGAGGCAACATACGCCTCCTTTTCTATTTTTTATAATTTTCATATTTTTATACGTTGATTTTTTTATTTTTATATACCGAACGATACACCCTAGCGTACTACTCGATACACACGTACCATACCATATCGAGCAAAGCTCAAAACTCCGATACGGTATGAAATTACGAACCTTAGTTTAAACAACAATAATATCAGGCTTTCAACATACTCAGCTAAGATATTGATATAACTAAAGCTTCAACTTCACCAGGACATGTCCAACAAACTAGAAAGACTAAATTTCAAACATTACATTTGTGGTATTCGTGTTTTACAATTTTGACCCTTGTATTATAAAACTTTTCACCACATCCTAATAGTTTGCACTGTTTATCATAGAGAAATCACTGTTAGCTCTTCTACAGTTTTTCTTGTTATTTCCATTGCCATCTTAAATTCTCAACCTGGTCCCGTGAGCTTGGTCCAAGGAGGAAGTGTTAAAAAATAGACTTAATCATCAAATCCTAGCCTAGCATTTTTAAACAAGGTTGACCACAGAGGAAATAAACTGGGGAAGGGAAGGAGAGGAGGGAGGGGTCTGGGAGGAATGTCATGAAAAGATAATCCAAACAGTGATAAGAATAGAGGGAAAACTAGGTATTACCTCCCATGTCAGCAGCCAAAATAACACCATCTTTATATTTCATGCCTATCACTGATGTACCAGTCACATACGGATACCTGTCAAAAGGTTTCACATGTTCAAGATTGTATCATAACATGGTTGCATTGAGTAAAGAAGATTATATGAATCAAGTAAAAAAATTGGCAGAAATGATCACAAAATATTAGGTCAAACATGAATCTAAAATGCATATTGCGCAAGTGCATAGCATATCAAAACAGAAATGCATGTAGTGACATAAATTGAGCAGCATTTCATGCTAAGAATTTCCAACTCATACAAGCATCTGCTATCGGAGCGGATGTCTCAGCATAAAATACTGCATGTTTAGGTTATCTAGTTTTGCTGGCTGAATTTGCAATATAATACATCCAATAAAAAGAGAAATAATTATGATAAAAGTTTCGAGTTCATCATATCTAACTCATCTATGAAGCATGGCTCAGATGCAGATCTAACTATCACACTTAGTAAAGGAGCAAAAAGGATGCATTGTTAAGTGCCATAAGAATCTGAAATCTAGAAGATAATTTCAATAATAATCTGTGTCAATATACCGAAAACTAATTAGAAACAATTATGAAAGGGTTTAATGAGTGCCAGACTCAGATACATATCCAACAAGTGGTCACAATTCACTTGGGAGTGCAGAGAAATTTGTTGATTGATGTGTTCAAGGCTTCAACCTACAAATCCTTCTTATACTAGATGACATAGCCGTTTAAAATGCAGCAAAAATTTTCCGAAAAAAATTACTCGACCCGAGTTATGCGGCAAGGTGTTAAGAAATCCTAAGATGATAGAAGCAAACGCATCACGCTCGTTCCAAAGAAATGACCGCATCAATCAATGCTGCTTCTTACGATATATCCACTAACTATTTTAGCACGCCTAAAAGCCATCTTCTTCAGCTCGATAGCCACCACTAGTCACAGATGGGGGTGGGCGCGGCGCGGGATCGATCCACTGATAGAACATGGAAAGGAAAAGGCAGAGCAAGGACCACACGAGATGGGTAGACATAAATTTTTGTCAGCCGATCAGCTCCCACTGGGAACAACACCAACAGTACAAGATCTACCCTAAACACCACCACGCAGCAGCGTAAACTCATTCAAATCATTCGCCCAAAGAACTCAATCATGCGTATCCCACAAAAGAAAAAATTCAAAAAAAGGGAGCGATTGCAAGATCCATACAAGGTCCTTTCAGTTCCATTTTCCGAGATCGCCGAGTCCTTCACGGCCACCATCTGCAATCAAGAAACCAACTCGAATTCAACGAACTCGAAGAACCGAAGGGAATAAGGAAAACAAGCTGACCTCCATGCCGTTCGCGTGATGGATTGCAAGTCGTTCCATAGGAAGGGGAGCAGAACAAGGTGGGTGTTTAGGGTTCCCCGATGCGGGCTGGCCAGGGGGGTACGGCGTAGTAATTAAAGGGAAGCAGCATCGGCTTGGAGATCAAGAAAGGTTGGTTGGGCCGGTTCTGGGCCGGTTCTGGGCCTAACTAGACTTATATCGAATCTATTGGGCTTAGCTTGGACTTGAGCCTACGTTCTCTAAATTCTATTTATTCTATTATAAAAATTAATGTATATATATATATATATATATATATATATATATATAGTTCAACTTTTGACCCATCGAGTCAAACGGATTGACCTCCGATCCTATTCCAAATAATTTTTAGCCAAATTATTTCATGATTTTAAGCTATGATTGGAATCAGAGTTACGATCTAAATGATCTGCATGTAGAGACTTGGTTATTTAGAGTGGTATTTTAAGCTTTGTACTGAGACTTCGCTCCGTGGTAAAGAAAGAAACCAAAGCTAATGTTATATAACATTTTGTAGAGTAGCATTGACGTGTGAAGATGTCGACTGCTCTCCATCCTTCGTCAGTGCTTGGAGGTGCAGCTGGTGGCCAACAGCACCCCGGCGGGCGGCGCACCCACGACGATGTTGCAGTGGCGCCGGGTCCGGAACGTGTAGTGTAACCAGCCGCCAATATCGGACCGCGTCCGGAACGAGGCCACCACCTTCATTGCATGCCTGTTCCCGGTCTCCCCCGCACGCCAGGCCTCCGCCGCGTCGGCCGGCAGCGCCACACTGCTCGACACCATGCGGACGTAGCGCAGCACCGCCTCCCTCCTCCGCTCGCGGAACGGCCCCAGGCCCTGCGTCGCGATCAGGACGCTGCGGAAGTACAGGTCCAGCTGCACCTGGCCGAATCTCAAGTCCACCTTCTGGTTGGGGTTGGAGAAGTTGGCGAGGACGGAGAGGTCGGCGTTGAGGAGGCCGCCGCCGTCGAGGATGGCGCCGTTGAGGTTGGCGCTGGAGATCTCGAGTTGGGGGCCCTTGGGCTTGACGACGAGGTACACGATGAGGATGGCGAGGCCGGCGAGGATGATAGCGACCCACAGCAGCGTGCAGCACGCGCCTACGAGCCAAAAGGCTGGGTGCGTCGGTTGCGGCCGGGTGAGGAACTCGGAAGGCCGATGAACCCGAGGCACCCGCCGTTCCTGTTGGTGATGCGAGTGGTTTGCTTGGTTTCCGCCATGCATGGTTGGCGTGGTGGGTTTGGGTGGAAGACTGAGCAGTAGTCGAGGAGGGAGGAAGGAGAAGAAGATTGCTGGTTTCATATAGGAGGTGGAAAGGGAAAGCAATTATGGTGGGGGGGAAGGAGGCAAGGAATCCAAATGGTGCACAAGCAATGCAATGCTGAATCATGCAAGTAATGAATACCATTCTGCTACCAAGAACTCTACTCGGTGGAGATGCCTAATCTATGGATATTGACGGAGGGCGCATCAGATACAGTTCGTCCATCCTGGAACCGATGCAGTTCTTAGCACCCATCGAGTTCACTTCAGTGCTCTGCATTTTCGTTTCGTTAATCTACACAGAACGATGAGATGAATGAGGAGGAGGAGTGCTGACCGTCGATGAATAATCATCGGTTCAAATTGCGAATCGAACCGATCTAATCAAAATCAAATCTGAAATTGACTAATGGTTCTACTATAATCGAACCGAGACTCTCCACCCCTCGAATTAGAATCGAAACTCATGGTTCCAATTCGGATCGAACCGAAATAGTCACGTGATCGATTAGTGGAATGTTATTATGGAAATAATAATAATAATAATAATAATAATAATATATAAAGACACATTTTCATTTTTATTATTCTGACACCAAATGAATCTGTCTACTGCTCACTAATTGCAACTAATAATCTCTCTGGTGTTTTCCGATTGTAATATGACAAGCGCAAGTTCAGTGCCTCCGAGTTCAATAAAGAAGAATTTAGATTGTTCCACTATTTGTGCCAACCCAATAATATCAACATTTCAACATAGAGAAAGAAGAAGATATAGAAACAAAAACAATCGAGTATCCACTTCAATAATATAAGAAATTCTGATGGTCTATTTTAGGTCATTTACAACTATTGCTCTTAAAATTTTTAAATTTAAAGAAGAAGGTCACTGAGAAAAAAGAAAAAAAATTCCTACTCAAGAAGGTCTTGACAAAATATTTTATTATAGGTAAATTTACAACTATTGCTCTTAAAATTAACAAAATACAGCTCACCATTCTTAAATGTTTTATTTTTCTATCGAAAAAAGGAATTAGCAATATTTGTTTCCACTGGATAATTTTTTTTTAATTTTGCTGAAAAATTAAGTTATGTTAATTATTCTCAAAATGTTTTAAATCATGTTATAAAACATGTTCATAAGACCACTCTCACATGCACTACTGACAAATTTATTTTATTTCTATTTATAGTGATATTTAGAGTAATCATCTACATCAAAATTATATATCATTGGGTTGACAAGGATTAGACTACTTAAGAAAGAGTAATTATCTTTAGAGTTTTTGATGAAAGACATACCATCGATAATATTTTTAAAATAATAAAAAAAGCTAGTTTGAAGAAATATAGTATGATTTTTATTTTTTTAATAAAACATATTAAAATACTACATATATTCTTGAGTTGGGAACAAGTTTATATTAGGATCATGTCAGCACTAAGAGAGGAGATGAATTCGTGCTTTCGTAAAAATGATGGTTTGAAAATTTTCGTTCAATGAAAATTGATATTGAAAAAGAGTTTAACTTGAAAGCGCAAAAACGATGGTTTGAAAATTTTTGTTCGATGAAAATTGATATTGGAAAAGAGTTTAACTTGAAAGCGTATTCATAAGCATAGTAAGAGTAGTAAATCAGTTTGCAATATATGAATAAAAAGCAGAACAAAAATGTAAACTGAGTTTTATAGTGGTTCGATCGTCGTGATCTACGTCCACTCTCAATTCCTCCTCCGTTGAGGCCACCGGCATCTACTAACGATCTTCTTTTAACGGGCGAAGATCAACTACTCTTTTACACCCTTTTTCTCATTTTCACAGGTTTATGAGAGAATCTTTACAACCACTCAACGCTCTCTTAAACTTTACATAACATAGAGCTTGAGAGGAGTTCTCACAATATTACAATAGCGTTTTCTTTCCATTTTACTCTCAGTTCTTGTATTAACCAAGTAGGGATAGTGGGGTTTTTATAGGCCCCAAATGGATTCAAATTTCTAGCCAAAAATTTGAATCTCTAGGATTTCGAGATACTAGTGGTACCATCGCTAGTACTGGGCAGTACCACCACCTATTAGTTCTGACACTAGGCAATACCACCGCCCAATCTGGCGATACTATCGCATAACACACTAACACTGTGCGGTACCATCGCCTGACATAGTCTAGGAGACTGTGTTTGGATGGCACTATCACTTAGTATGGGCAGTACTACCGCCAGACCCTGCTACAAGACACTGAATGGGCTAAACAATAAGCCCAATTCAGCCCTGATTCAGGCTCAATTGACCTCTAATTGAGTTAGCATTATTTCATCCCAATATCGACTCAATTAGATCTAAACAAACTCGATCTAGACAAATTATTATAAAGCACGAATCATATGTTGTCCAGCATGTCATTGGTCCTTTCGGCGCTTTATTCGATCCTTCGGTGTGTTGTCTTATTCGACGTATTACCCAATCGACATGTTGACTCCCCCAACTTTCGATCTCCTTGGCATAATGTCCGATCCTTCGGCCCGATACCTGAACTCATGGCACGAAGTCCTTCTACTAGCATGTCGATCGATCCTCCGGTCCGACATCTAATCTCCTGACATGTTCAACTCCGGCTTAGCGTCCGATTCCTCCTACTTCAATCAATTTACCTCTTCTTGATCGAAACTAATCTTGTGTCACTCAAAACGCATATTAGATCACAAACTAATCAATTGATTTTATTATTAAAATCTGAGATTCAACAATCTCCCCCTTTTTGATGATAATAATCAATTGATGACGAAGTTTAAACTAAACTTCCCCTATCAATATGGCATAATTTCAATTATAAATTATATGTAATACATCATATTATTACTTACGTCATAAGTTCAAGTATTGCATCTAAACCATCATACATAATAAAATTTTATTTTATCATGCATGATCATAATCATACTTTCTCCCCCTTTGTCATCAACAAAAATGAAAAGTGCAACTAGCAATTTTTGAAACATATAAGTTCAACTTCATTATAGAACATGCAAGCTTAGCAAGTTTTAGAGATATGCTAGCTTTGCTTCTCTTTTGAGATGTGTAAGCTAGTAATTCTTGTTTTCTTTTGCAATATGCAAGTTTGCAAGTTTTGCTTCCTGAGATGAGCAAGATGGCACTTTTGCTTAAGATTGTAAGATAGCAATTTTTTTTCCTTTTGTAATGTATAAGTTTGTAAGTTTTGCATCTTGAGCTAGTAATTCTTTCTCCCCCTTTGTTATTGTCAAAAAGAGGAATATAATGATATAATTTTTTTTTAATTTTCTAATCATAACAAATATTAATAACAACTATAAGTTTATATCAATATTTCAATCATAAAAAAAATGAAAGATCAAGTCATGAATACTAAAAGATCATGATTCATTTTTTACAAATCTCCTCTTTAGTAATTAACAAAAAGAAATCTTAGGAGATTAAATAGTCAATGATTTTCAAAAGCAATCTTATGTTATAAATTTTGAGAAATCAAGAGAAATTTTTGAATAAACATTCTCTTTACTAAATTGAAGGAATCATAGTGAACGATATTGATTTATTTAAAAATCTTAAGTTATAGTTATCACTATCATGGTTTGTTTGCATAATTCTCCTCTTTAGTAAAAGAAGGAATCATAAATCTCCAAAAAGAAATCAAAAGAGAATTTATTATTCATTTGGATAATTCTCTTCTTTAGTAAATGACAAAAAGAAATATAGAAAACAAAAAAGAGATCTTGATTCACATATCTTAAGTTAAGAAATCAAGAGAAATCAAAAGAGAAACCATGATTCATTTGGATAATTCTTCTCTTTAGTAAATGATAAAAAGAAATATAGAAAAACAAAAAAGAGATCTTGATTCACATAAGATATCTCAAGTTAAGAAATCAAGAGAAGGTTCATGATTTGATTGAAAATTTTTCATTTAGATTCAAATCATTAAAATTATTTTTATAGTCCAAGAGATTCATAAAATAATATAACTTGATTTTTGAAAACTCAATAAGATGGGGATTAAAAAATTTTCAAGAAAAATATATTTATTTTTTATTTTAATTTCAGCGATTGATTTCATACAAGCATATCCTTGTTTTCTATGCCAAATCAATGCATCATTGATTAAAACAGAAAATCATTAAAAAATTATCAAGATCAATAAATTATAAATTATAAAAATCATCATGATCAAAAGTATAACACATAATTTCAAAACATAAGATTTCAAATCATCATTACTTTAAATCCTCGTGCATATTATAAAATCATCAAGCATGATACCAAATGTTTTACCATTTTCATTACGTCATTACATCATTAAAACATCAAGCATAATTTCATTGAACATAAAACATCATTAATTAAAATTAATTTGTTACTAATAGTACTAATTATAATGATCTTTATTTTATTATTTTAGCTAACGAGCTTTGTGAAGTATTTTGGATCTCCGGTCACAAGTCTTAGGCATCCACTATCAAAATTTTATTTTTGCTCCTTGCTTTCGATTATAGAGATGTCTACAAGAAATGTGGATTTTCTTTAGGTACTTATTTGACTTTGGGTCTCTCATGGTTAAATCTATCTATCTTGATTTTTGACATATGATCATTTATGGTTTCTTTACGAATCCATACTAATTTATACAAGTCATACTTCCTGAATAGATATTTATATGCAAAGTATCCACATTGAAAACACAAATTACATTTGTTTTCAAGGGAAACATGTAATGTGTGTCTTTTAACAAATAAAATCGGTTTTTATTGAGTGTTGTTACTCACAAAATTGATTCCTATTTTTTTATGTACTTGATCCTCATTAACAAGAATCATGTTTAATTATTTGCCACCAATTTTAATTTTTTCTAACATTTGTTTTAGTAATACATTTTCATTATTAACTAAGTCTAACTCTTCACATTTAGTGTAAGGAGCTAACATACTATCATCATGCTCATTTCTTAATTTATTAA